GACGAGCAGGTCTCCTGAAGCAAAGTTCTGTGACACTCAGACTCTGATATGATAGAAGTCAGTGCACTACAGAACTTTGTCTCCGGCGGCCGTGGGGGCGCGGAGGCTCCGCGGGCGCTCGCCAAGGGAACGGCCCCCTCCCTTCCGAGCCCGACATGGGAGTCTGTTTGTCAAGCGGCCGTTGCGAAATTACTGATGTTCAGGAAGTCGGTGGTAGAAGGCCTTGCTGGAAACGGTCCTTCATGGCCCCGTGTGGTGTGTGAGGGCCGGGGGCTGCCGGCTCTCTGCTGGTGGCGGCCGTTAGGAAGCACTCGCCAGAAGTACCTCTGGACTCTGCGACCTGGTAAACCCAGGGGTGATCTCTGCGCTGCGCTTGGGCAGGATGGGGAGAGGAGTAAAGCAGATAGTGTGGTGTGACTTGCAAGGGCTTCAAAGCAAGGAGGAGAAACAGGATGTGCCGCGGCTTCCTGAAGGGGTATCAAAATACATTCATACAATTCGGATGTAACCCATTTATTTCCTTTCTCACGCATTTGGTCAACTTTTTTGAGAATGAGTTGAAGCAAGTTGGGTTGGGCACTGTGTTGGGCCTGGGGATCAGTTATGAACACCTTACAGGTGATTTGACCTATTTGGGAAAGAATTATTTGAAAAATTGAGTCATTTTTACTTAGTAAATTATGCCATGTCCTCCAGGCTCGAGTTTGTCTTTAGTAGATAGAAGATAGTCATGAGAATACGGGCTGTTGAGGCTGAGCATAGGTGAAGGTGTAACCGTTGCTTGTTGAGCAGACAGACTGAAGGCGCTTTCTGAAATTCCATGTGGTAAATCATTCACTGACTCCCTTCTGCATCCTCATTTTATCCTGAGTTGTATCACCACTGCAATTCAGAGTCCTCAATTATGTGGTACTTGAATGAATTTTTCTGTTAAGTATTAGAAAGTGAGGAATGGATTTCTTAACGCTGATGTTGAAACGAGCTTTATTGTATCCCATTCACGTGTTATGCCTGGACCCTGCAATTGCTACCTTGAAACTGTAACTTCAGATATTGCTGCGGTCAGTTACTTTGCAAAAGGGATGGCAAGCAGAGGATTGTGGCCTGCCTCCTGGGGAATACATAGTGAGCTGGCTGCTGGAAGCATGGAGGAGCTGTAGGAGCATGTTTGAAAAATGAGAGAAAGCAGTAGCTATGATAAAAGACATGTCCTGAAAAAACGTGTGAAAATCTTTTGTAAAACTACCCGTTTCTGCTAACAAAACCAAAAAACACCATTAAAAAAAGATTAAATACGCTCAAGAAGCTTTTGGTCTGCCCTCTTTCTACTCTATATAGTGCTGTATTTTCACTTCTTTCTAATGTTTTTGCTCATGTGTCTTTTTGTGGGGGGAGGATGGGAGGACATGACCCTACAAATTTAGTTTATCCATAGCAAACCTTACATCTGTTTAAAAAAAAAAAAAAAAAAAAAAACCCTCCTGTAACAAGCTTTTCACGAGTAGAAAGTGAAGTCTAAGTCTTGTTGATGTGTGAACTACTACAAGACTTAACACTACTCATTTTGTGTATGTTGGATGAGTGCTCATACATATTTTAATGAGGAATGCCACTTCTGCTTAATTCTACATATGTAGAAAGCATATAGTCTGTGGTAAGATATTTTATTTTATTTTGTCTTTTACAGTACATAGATAAATCTTATACAAATCATCTCAAGAGCCTTGAGGCCTGCACTTAAGTTGACCTGAGTAGCTATTGCATACATAGCAATGAAAAAAATGAGTGGGAATACATCTGGAATCTATAGTCCTACATATACTCTGTGGGATACTAGTGTTTGTTCCTCTGGCTTTCAAATGTAAGAAAGAGGCAAGGTGAAGATGTGATCCCCTTTTATTGGTCCCCCTTTTACTGGTCCCCCATACTTTTGTTTGAAAATGTGGTATTTCTTTTGGTAGATTTTCACAGGAATCTATTGAAGTCTTTTTTTTAATAACGATGATATATCCATGGCCCTATTTTGACTCCTGGCGGTGTCAAAAGCCCCTTGACTATACTTACTAGGTATATGAAAGCTTCTTTAGTTTTTTTGTATATTTCTTAAATTTAGTGTTCTGAGTTGTATAACTAGCTTCTATTTTCTTTTCATAAGATGTCATGCATTTTTTATATGATAAGTGATTTTGTTTTGTTTTTTGGTATGTTGTTACTTTTGCTGAAAGCCTGTCCTAGTGGAGCGCTGTGGCAATATCTCTGGTTTGTCATGTCCTGGGACTTCTCATGGAATAGAATTCAGAGTACAATCCTGCTCAGACTTTTTGGGCTGAGTAGTTTACACCATGTGGTTGTCTCAGATTATTCTACACCTCTGCAGCGGATGTTGCTGTTGCTGTACAGCGTGTTTAGTCCCTGAATAGAAATCTTTGTACTTCATGGGCATAATCTTATTTCACGTTTCTCAGTTTCATCTTCCTGTGAAAGGATGAATAGTGATTCTACGCTTGTGTGCCATTCACAATATCCTGTGTTGAGTGAACCTGTCCTAGTTGCTGTTTTTGTTCAGGTTCTGATGTACTTTTAAGTCAAAACAAGAATTAACTTGGTATTTTTGTGCTTTATCTACATTTAAGAAATGATGTACAAAA